TCAAATAATTACCAAATTTATTTATTTTATTTTTATCGTAGGAAAATCATATTTTTAAAAATTTAAATAAAAATATTTCAGGAAAAAAAGAGAAAAACGACGAAAATCCCGCAGGAATGCATGCAAGAAAAATCCCACCTGTAAGGGCTCCGCATGTCACACGTGTTTACATGTGCACAACCAGCATTGGACGTGCGCACTATGCACTCGTCCTATCCATGCGGGGCAAGGGGCATGGTATGCGCGCCCTGCACATGCACCATCTTCGTAGTATGCCTGCGGTGTGCAGAAGGCTAGAGCAATGTGTGCTGCATCGAGCAGAGCGCGCTGCTAGTTTGGGCGATGTGCCATCGTTGCTTGGGTGACATGCCACCGTCATTTAGGTGGCGTGCCTCCAGCTTTCACGTTGCCGTCACATTGCGTCTTCCATTCATCGGTCCCATCCGTTGGTCATCACATCCTACTTTTTCAATTGACTTTGTCTCTCCTTACCAGATTTTGCCACTTGGTGCAAATCCAACAGTCCCCATTTTTTATAAATAGAGACTCTCCTTCACCATTTCCTCAACACTTTAATTTCCATTCTTCCACCAAAGAGTTTTAGAGAGAGAGGGAGTGATCTAGAGAGAGAGAAGAGAGAATGAGAAGAAGAAAAGGTGTAGGACAACATCAAGGTTTTGGTAAGAAATTTATTATTTACTTTTAAACATCCTAAGGAGTATTTCTAGATTAAAATTAACAAGATTAAATTAAATAGTTACATGATTTAATATATATGCTTAAAATGAAGTAATTTTACATGTTAATGTATGTTTTAAGATCGTATATGAACTTATAAGTTTGCATGTGTAGTTTAAATGATTTAATGCTTAACATATACATTTATATATTAAGAAAATAAGGATGGAAAAATGATTAAGAGTGAAATGATGTATAGACACATGAAAAATGTATTAGCATTGGCATGCATAATTCATAAAGTATTTCGTTAGGTATTTTATCTCTGAGGGATTTCTGTTTCTCCTCCCATATAATCTCAAAAGACGTGAGAGGACGACTCCCTATGGATGATGGTGTACCCTTTGACGAGAGTGGTGACGCAATATGATTGGATCATCTTTGGTGAAGTATAATTGTGACCATAGTTAACATGTAGGACCATTGTGGTTGGTGCAGTCATGGTCATAGATCGTGTCATGATTTGGCAAGCCGTAAATGTATTGTTAGTTTGCTAAGTTGCAAATTGCTGTTATAAATTAAATGAATTGGTCATTCTATATGGGTAGTCGAGAATCCATATTGCCCTTAGTAGATAGAAGTCGGAACGACTTTACCCGAAGAATAAAATGAAAGATAGTGCATATCATCATTTGTTTTATTTTTTTATTTTCAGCATGCTTGATTTGATTGATATGATATGACTATGATATGATGGTTATGATGTTTTCTTTAATAAAATAAATTATTTTCATAATTAATAAAGGACCCTGACATTACTATTGATGGTAAGTGATGATAGTACGTTTAATTACTTTTGAAATCTTATGATGTTATTTAAATATTATTTTTCTTATTGAGTATATGGAACTTACTCATTTCCATGCCATCCACCAGATGAGGAAGATAGTGAGGAACCAATTACTGACCTACCCCTTGAAGTCTTTGAGGATCCCGTAGATCCATGAACCTTTATGAGTGTATGATTTGTCTCGCATTTTGATGAGTCCATTTACATAATGATAGAAGTGGCTCTATTTTGTATTTTGTTATTTTGTATTTTATCGCCACTTCTGCCCTCAGTTTTAGTTATGTAATTAAGAACTCATTTATTTTATAAGGGATTGTAAATATTACTCTACTGCATAATTTATCTATTATGCACTCATAATCTGTTTTTGTATCTGACACCCTTATCCCTTAATTGGAATTTAGGATGTCACAAATGGTATCAAAGTAGTTACGTAGAATAATTCCTTATAACTAAGATACTTAGAAAATATATTATCTTTCAAAAACTAGACCACCAACTCGTGTCTTCCTTTTCTTTTGTAGGAATGATGCAAGGGAGACCTTCTGTAAAGCATACCAAAAGACCTTAGGCCCAGGATCATCTGACCAGGGTCGATTTTACAAAACTCTTCTGAACCATCCAGGGTTTAACTGCAGTTGTAGGACAAAATCAAGCCAACCCTTGCTAACATCCTCCTACTCCTGACTACTAATCAGTTGAAAGGTTTATCTCTTACAACATAGCAGAGCTTAGAAACTTAACCCACTTATTTTGAGGA